TCCCGGTGCTCGCCGACGAGGGCGTGCCTATGGCTCAGCGGTGTCTACTCAGGCGCGCCCTACGGGAACTCGTGTCGCATCGCTGTCGTCGCTATCATCGGTAGCCATCGTACTGCGGCTGCGGTCACGTCTGGCCGCTCGCGCCTCGCGTTCGGTGGCCGGAGCTGTGCTTTTGTTGATGGTTTGGTCGCCACTATCGTCCACATCAGTACCGCCGCCGCCACCACCGCTACGACCACTAGCCTTATCATCGGCACTACCGCTACCCTCACCGCTGCCATCATCGCCACTATCGTCGTCGTCATCATAATCGGCCGCAGCCGACACATAGCCATCGGTGGTGGTGTTGCCGACACTGCCGTCGGGCGCGACGGGTGCGGTGGTGGCCGTCGACTGGTCGTCCAAATGTATGGCCAGACCGCTCATAAACTCGCGGTGCCGTTGCTGTTCGCCTCTCACAAACTGCTCGACCAGAAGCTGACGAGTGGTCAACTGGGGGTCGACGGGCGGCTGCTGTCGGCCATCGCTAGCCATTTGATCCCTGAGCCGGTGATAGTGGTCGACGAGTTCCCGTAGGGCGCGCCTGAGTAGACACCGCTGAGCCATAGGCACGCCCTCGTCGGCGAGCACCGGGAGGTCCACATCCGGGTCGATGGCCAGCAGCGTGTGAATCGTGTCGAACCCGTTGGCCATCAGACAGACAATGGTTTCGCACCGGAGGCCCGATATCTGCGACAAGTATTGGTAGCAAAACGTGTCGGCGCTGATCACCGGATGGCCGGCGCCGGGCGTTAAACCCATGGCCGCCGCGGGTGTGGCCGGCGGTGACGGCAGCCGTTGCAGAGCCATCGAGTCGTCAGCGGCGGTGTTGTTGGCGGCGGCAGTGGTGGACATCTGTGTCTTGGGATCAGCTGTTAAGTGATGTGAAGTGTTGTGTATTTTTTGAGCGCTTTTTCAATGCTTTTTTGCAAAGCGTTTGCAAAAAACGTATAGTTTTTTACATCAAAAAAAATAACTCATAAACACTATCGCTATAAATGACACTATAATTCACGGGTGTATTAATTACCGATGATAGTCGGTAGTGACACTACCAAGGTTGTTTTTAATTGTAATTAAATTGTAAATACAATCAAAAACTATACACAAAAACAATAAACACTTTTTGCGTTAATTGTATGCAAAAACAAATACCAAATGCAAAGCACGTGTTGTGTTGAGTGCCATAAAAACATAGTTTCACTGTATTTGTGATGTACTGTACTATTAATAGCCCTAATGCTGTGCAACATGTGTACAGTGAGCTACAATTTCCCCTGTCCCTACCCCTAGCCCTACCCCTTCAGACCCACACACATATGCCAATACAAACCTATCCCCTTCCCCCTCTATACAGCAACCCTTGTACCATGAGCGTTTTAATTTAAATATAGCACGTACTGGTGATGGTAAACTTTATACGATATTTGATCTATGCAAAACATGTTTTTCAAATACTAATGTGTGTTGATTGCATGAAAATAATGTTTGGTTTTGTGGCAAAAATTATTATCAATGTAAATTAATGCCCTGGTAATAAATCAAAATTAAACAGTTAGCACTATGGTGATTTGCATTAACTATTTACAGCGCATTCCAAAGTGGCAGAATAGTGGAAATCTTATTAAAAATTGTGCACATTATTCATACACTATTCATACAGACAATGTAAATAAACGAGTACGTTTATAGTGAGTAATATTTGGAAATTACCTAGGTCAAACAATAACCACGTTCACNTTAAACGAAATATAATCATTAATTTAAATACTTGTATAATTTACCCAATATTTACCCAATAGTTAACCCTAATAATTATTAAATAGAGACATAGTTCATTAAATATTTAATTACAATTTTGCAACACAAACATGATATATTTATAACATAAAATATTTATTAATAAATCAAATACAATCAATCATGGTAAATTAAAAAACCACAAAAAAATAACAGAAAGGCAAACCACATTGGATTGGTTCATGATTAATTAACCAATTCAACCATGGTGGTGCGTATCAATGTTTCATCGCGTTGATCTCTTTGGCTATGGCAGTTTGCATCTCGGTGCGCATATTTTCGGCCAGTTTGCAGCACTCGGCCACTGATTTTTTATGATCTTTGCACTGTTTGCGGAGGGCGTCTTTGCGCTTGATCAATTCCTCGATATGCTTTTTGGCCACTTTCAGTTTGGCCTTCATGCCCGCGTGCGCCTCGTTCGCGATCATCATGTCCACCATGGGCAGAATGCCCTTCATTTGCTCAGTCATGTAATGGAAGTACTCATCCAATTCCTTCTCGGTCTTTATCCCGGAGCATATGCCTGCGATCATTAGGGTATTTAGCATGATTTTTATTGTTATTTTGTTATTATGAACTTGGTGAAGTATTTTTTGGGTTTATTTTGATGTATGGTTAAAGTTTTGCTAAATTATTTTTACTTAATTACTCTCGTGTTAATTATAAAAAGTATAATAATCTAGCTTATAGCAATTCTGTTAAATGTATGAACGATGAGTATCGTGTTAAATACAAGCTAGGTAAATTTTGTCAAGTAAAATTTAAATTACAGATTAATTAAATATAATTACCAATAAAATTGATGATAAGAAACACTGTTAGACAGCAAACCAATGATTTAGAAACCATTTTTAATTTTTTACAAAATACTAATAGAATAAAAGTTACTATAAAATTGTTATGATGGAATTATATTATCAATCTCAATTAATTAACATAAGTTACCAGCTTTTATTTTAATAATTGTTACTTTAATTATGATAATGATATTTTTAGTAATTAAAAAGTATTACATCAATACGGTAATTACCTAGATAATTATCTAACTTAAATACAAGTGTCTATTCATTATCGTTAACATCATTAAAATGTTTATACAATTTACTACATAATTAAGTTTAATAATATATTTGTAAATCAAAATCTCATTAATATTAACAATACAATCAAGAATCAAAAAGATGTGAACAATTTCGCCGATATGTTTAAGTGTTTTATTTTAATCCAATTATATCAATATGTATAGTAAATTAAACCTCATATATTCAAGAATAATTTACGTGAAAAAAATTTAAAAATATCTATTAAATTGGCCGAAATATCAGGATTATAAGATAGACGTATTGATTTTTAATTTTTAAGCTTTTCGATATCGAATTCGGTTATAATTTCGAGTTGTAAAACAAATAAACAATATTCGTTAATTTGAATTATTTATGTTCATAATAATAGATATAATTTTATAGAAAAACTCCGATTAATATATCCTACAATGGTCAAAATGTATTTTCGACTTAAGCTACCTCCACATTGTAAATGATGATTGAGATGGTATGTTACAGCGGATTTTGTTGTATGCTCTAACATGGTCAGAATTTCGATATTGGCCAATTATATTATTTTAAACATGATTTATATAATCCAGAAATATATCACTGTTAATTCCGAAAGTATTTTATCAATTATATTTAATTTTGTTAATTACAAAATTTAATTATCCAAAACTAAATTAACATGGTGTCTATGGGTTAAAAATTAAAAATCAATACGTCTATCTTATAATCCTGATATTTCGGTCCATTTAATAGATATTCCGAAATTTTTTTCACGTAAATTATTCTTGAATATATGAGGTTTAATTTGTTTTACATATTGATATAATTGGATTAAAATAAAACACTTAAACATATCGGCAAAATTGTTCACATCTTTTTGATTCTTGATTGTAGTTTATATTTAATATTGGCAATAATAACATGCTCATTAATTAAATCATTTATAAAATTTAAATCTATTTCATACGAAGTTCAGTAAATAATGTACAAAATTACCACATTGTGCGCAATAATCGTTGCGTTTATTATAAACGGTAAGCTTGTTTAAAACTATCTAGCTCATTTAGAAAATAAACATAACCACCTTTCTGAATTAACACCTACACAACTACACCCACAGCCGAGGCCAACGATGCGGGCGACGGGACGGCCACCACAGCTGCCGCCACCTCCGGCGCGTCCGAGGAGTACCACCTGTTTGCCTGCACCCAAGCCAATCACAATGAGCATTTTGATAAAATGACCGCGTACCTGACCCACATGATACCATTCCTCGAGTTTATGGTACAGCACTCGGCGGACACCGTTGGCGACGAGCATAAGAAACATAAGGATGACCTCAAGGCAATGGTCACCCACTTTAAGAAGTATAACGAGACGGCGGTGGCGCTCAAGACCAAGTGCGATGATAAGGCCACTACGATTGACCAGTGCTGTACCGATATTAAACAGTTGGAGAAAACTTTTCATGATGAAATGGACAAGTATGAGCACCCCGATCATAAGGCTTGATTGAGTTGCTCAGTGTATTTTTTATGTAAATGTACTGTAGACATGTTTGGTTGAATTTGTAACAGAATATTTTGCAAATTTTTAAACTAAATTGCAATTTGATGCTTATTCACATGTTTAATGTTAATGCAATAAATAATATTATGTTGGACAAGAATAAAACTAATGTTTATAATTGAATAAATAAGATCCGTTTTTCTAGTGACCACATATAAATATATTATGTTTGTATTTCAACATGGCATAATTAGTTGCGTTTTAACAATTACAGTCTCTAATCTTATATTAGTTATTAACTGAATTGAATTATTAAATGATATATTAACAGACTCTCTCTCTCTCTCTCTCTCTCTCTCT